GAAGGGGAGGGGGAGGCTGGGGGACAGTGGGATAAATTAAGCAATACAGATATTTTGTTACCAGAAACTGTGTTCGTTTTTGTCTAAGCTGGTTTTGCTATCAAGCCTATATAGTAGAACAGCATTTGAGTGGCTACTGTGTCACTGTAAGGAAACCAGGCAAAAATGGAAATTACAGTGACTTGAACATAGCAAAAACATGAAGCTGAGTTCAGTGTATATCAATGGCAGCGGGATGGGACTCTCTCTGCAACTTAGGTTATATGTGCAGATCTTAAAATAAAGAAGCTGTAAAGAGATAAGAAAACCATATTGGTCTGTTAGCTCACTCTGAGTTTTTTCAGTCTTGCAATTACTCAGGAAAGAGTTACAACTCATTGTCATAGCTTTTTAAATAAAATTTTACAACAGCAAAGCTAGTTGCTCTGCTGGAGTAACTTTCAATGAGAGTCTTCCCATGTTGCAGTTCTGTATTTGAAAACAGATCTTTATATTCTGTGCAGAACTTAAAAACTTTAACTTAAAACGTATTTATCCATCAAATATTTATTCTCTATGTGTGTTGAATCGGTTTTCCCTCAGTCAGAACCTCTACATCCAGAGCAGTGCTACGTAGCACTGTTTTTTACTGAGCGCTTTAACTTTTTTGGCTTTAATCATGCCAAACTATAGGTGTAGAATAGGAGTACAGGTATTAGCTCAGTACTTCAGGCTCAGCTATATCGAAGTCTCAAAGGAAAATATGAGCAGAGATCAAATATATATTTTCATATTATTAGATGCATTTAGGTGTTCCCTATGGAATGTGGTATAGAAAAAATACCTTAAATTTAAGCATGGTCATTAAACTGAGATGGGTGCATTGCACGTAGCTAGGTTTTCATGTTCTGATATTACACAAAATTCTGCATTTGTTTTAAAGCTACACAGCAGAGGCTGCATAGCACGTGCAAACACCTTTGTAGCTTTCTGTCTTTTGCCTTTGCAGAGCACTAGGAATCAATTACCTAGCTTACATTGCAGTAGCAGTTTGGTTTGGTTTTCTTTTCTGTCTTTGCCAGTCTTGTCCCCAGGTCCTGTTGTAGAGCTGGGTCTTTATCATACTGCAGCAGGTCTCTCGGTGAGAGCAATAATTCATTTCTGCCTTTTAAGAGATACCCATGGAGCCCATTCTGCCTTTTAAGAGATACCCATGGAGCCTGTTGAGAGCCTTCAGTTGTATTTAGGTCTTGACAAGTTTTAAGAGCAGACAAGCAGCTGCCTTGGCTTGCTCTGTGCAGAGCACCTGAGCTGCTGTCAGCAGGGCTGCTGCTGTACGTTTGTCCTGCTGCATTAACCTGACACGGCTGAGTAAGTGGGAATGTGTGGCCCTTCTGCTCTATGTAGAGTTGATGAATTTACAGTTCAAACAGCACAAGTTTAGGGAAAATTATGCACTTACCTGCTGTTGTAAACAACCTGAAAATGGGTTGAGATCTTTTACCCAAGTCCCAGATGTGTCTCCCATGCACCTATTATGTTCAAGTTTTTTTGAAGATCCAAAGACTATGATCCTGCCTGTAGACTGAAGATTGATGTCACCAATAATTTTGTTCAGTGTCTGCATATGAGGGGCGGGGAGTGAAAGACAGTGTTGTCCAAGTAATAAAATTAACAAGTAGCTTCTTGAACTAGTACTGGGCTGTAAGTGGATTTTTACAGGAAAAGATGATACCTACCTCAGTGAGCTCTCAGGAAAGCATCACACGAAAGTTTGAGCTAAAGGAGGAGTTTTAGTTTATTTAAAAACTCCTATGATATTTAAATGTTTGAGTCAGTATTGGAAAAATATTATTTGCTAATCTTTCTGATGGAAATGGTACTACTGAAAATTGCGTGATTTATAACAGGGCTACAGAAATTCAGTTCACGCTCTCGTTTTGGTTTAATTTAATTTTTTTAATGAGAAATGAACAAGTCTGGGTTTCTTTTTTTAATGAAAAATGAGCAAGTCTGTTTCTATTCTAATTCTCCTGCTTGTTTTGTTCTCAGGCTTTGAACTTGGCTTCGCTATGGCGAGTCCCAATGCCCTGGTGTGCTGGGAGGCCCAGTTTGGCGACTTCCACAACACGGCGCAGTGCATAATAGACCAGTTCATCAGCTCTGGCCAGGCCAAGTGGGTTCGTCACAACGGGATCGTCCTGCTTTTGCCACACGGAATGGAAGGAATGGTGAGGGCCGCTGTCTGGCATGTGCGGGAGGGAAATGCTGGCTACCACGCCTTCCTCTGCGGCTGTAAAAGCCAAGGGTGTCTTGGGGATCCGATGGTGACACTGAGCTTGGGGGAGGAAGGCACTGTTTAGCATGTTGGACTGCTTCAGTGCTACAGAAAAGAATGTGGATAGATTGATCGGTGAGAACCAACGAAAACTGAGAAGATATTTCTGAGCTCAGCTTTGTGTCCTTCTTAGTGGCATGTACCACATTTTCCCCACTTTTTTCTCTTTTTCCTCTTTTTTTGTATCTTTCCCTCAGAGACTGCCTTATTTGCCTAGAAAGCCGGATTCTTAGTGTACAGTAAGAAAGAAATCATTAGTGTCTAGCAGTACTTGCTTGGTTTTATTTTGCATGAAGTACATCTGTGTAAACTCGGCACTAAATTCACTTGCAATGAAATGATACGAAACAACTTTAAAACTTCTTCAAAAATCATTGACGTGGGGTAGCTTTGATATAATAAGAAATCTCCCTCTTTCTGAAAAGGAAAATATTTCCACTAGCTGTTGACTCTCTTTTCTTTGGTGGCTAGTAGGAGGAACTAGACAACATCTTAGAGGGGAAAGGGCATGGGCAAGCTCCGTGTATAATGTTACATGAAGTTCAGATCAGCAGTAGAATTGTTCTTCAAATCTTTTAAATTCTTTTTAAAGGTTACATGAACATCATATCAGGCTAGGTTAGTTTGTTCCTTTTCTAATGCATTAACGTTCATGAACTGATGCATGTATGTTTCTAGGTTTCTATTAAGAAAAGCATGGTATGTGCCACAGTGGCAATCTCCATCTGTATAAATGCTCTAGACTCTTTCACCGCAAACTGCGTCATTTCCATTCTCACAAACAATCTAGTTTATTTCCATTCAATTATAATCCTGTCCTGATATACTGGGGTGCATTCATATCTTATGAATGGCTTTCCATACCCGTTTGTGCATAAAGAATAAAGGGTCTGATGCTGTTCACAAGAGTTTTGATAAATTAAATTTTTTTAAATGAATCCCGAGGGACAGCCT